CCACTTTTTAGTTTATCATGGAGGGGAGTAGTGGTGCATTATTAGCACACCACGCAGGGTACCGCCGTACCGCTGCCGCCGAGGCGTACGAATATGTGACGTCACACGCAATATTACAAATCACCGTTTCTAGAGTCTTTATTCTCGAACACAAACTAACATTATCGATATCAATTTTTTCGTCAGAAATAAAAAAATTCAAAACTTCATTTCATTTAAACTACTATTACATCTATTTATGGATTTTTTTATTATAGGTCAACTGAAAATCAAAAATAGCTAGTAGATTTACACTCAGAATTAAGTGTAACAAAAAAAAACACAAATTTCAAATTTTAGAGCTGTTTGTTTCATGAATGTTCTAGATATCAAAATTCGCAAAATTTTCATACTTTTCGAGATAAAAAGTGTACCTAAATAGAAAACTTTTTTATATGACCTCCGCCGAGGCGTCAAATCGTTCTATTTACGTTTTTTCAGTCGTTTTTAATTATTAAGAAAACTTGCCTTCATATCGAAAAGCGACTATATTCAAAATACAACAAAAAAAGGTCTTCTGCGTGTTTTAATTTGATGTATATTTTAGAAAACAGAAACCGTAAGAATTATTTTTGACTACAAGTGGAAAAGTGAAGAGTCGGTAAGGATAGCCGAGCAGGCCGAATAATTATTTTCGGTGTACCAGGGTCGCATGTGGTATGACGTCGTTCCAACCGTTCGCAGCCCGCGTTGTTTATATTAATAAGCAGCGTCAAACCATTGCTAACGAAAAACCATTCTGAGCGTAGTTCAACAGATGAGATTCTTCGTCAACAATATGTATGCCATACTATGCATTAAATTAAATAACATGCGTTGACATTTTCTTTAATTTTATTAGTTTAATATTGTAACTATTTTCCTATTGTGTTAATTTATTGGGAAAAATTAAATTGACATTACATATTTCTTTAATATTTTTTGTTTATTATTTTACTGGTTGTTTCATTTTTCCCAGTTTTCCCATGTTATTTCAACCTAAACGCTACAAAAGTTTACGATCTAGGTAACGTAATTTTGTTACGTAGTCCATTAGTAAAATTGAAATACTAGATGCAGTTGTATTCGGTGCAATAACAAGTTATAAATTTAGTAAATAATAAAATAATTTTGCCTAATAAATTTTAAAAGAGACTATAAATCCGCATGTTGTGATACAGAAACCGCCCTGTGCAACCGCTGTCTCACGTCGAGGGTTGCAGTACACCGAGTGGTGATAAATACGTCTTACCGTATGTGTCCCT